TATTGATATTCTTCTTATCTTATTTAAGTTTATTATTTAATCTATTAATAATTATCTATAATAGTTTTTCAATTTCATTTATTTTTATTTTATTAATAGTTAATTTTTTTATTATAATTTATTGTTATTTCAGTATCATTTTTGAAATTTAAAAATTGTCTATTGATATTCTTCTTATCCTATTTAAGTTTATTTTCTAATCTATTAATAATTATCTAATAATTTTCTAATATTTTTTTCAATTTGATTTCTAATTATTTAATTAATAGTTAATTTTTTGATTATAATGAATGGTTATTTCATTATCATTTTTGAAATTTAAAAATTGTCTATTGATATTCTTCTTATCTTATTTAAGTTTATTATCTAATCATCTTCTAATAGTTTTTCAATTTGATTTCTAATTATTTTATTAGTATTTAATTTTTTTATTATAATTTATTGCTATTTTAGTATCATTTTTGAAATTTAAAAATTGTCTATTGATATTCTTCTTATCTTATTTAAGTTTATTATCTAATCTATTAATAATTATCTATAATAGTTTTTCAATTTCATTTCTTTTTATTTTATTGATAGTTAATTTTTTTATTATAATTTATTGTTATTTCAGTATCATTTTTGAAATTTAAAAATTGTCTGCCTATTGATATTCTTCTTATCCTATTTAAGTTTATTTTCTAATCTATTAATAATTATCTAATCATCTTCTAATATTTTTTTCAATTTGATTTCTAATTATTTTATTAATAGTTTATTTTTTTATTATAATGTATGGTTATTTCATTATCATTTTTGAAATTCATAAATTATCTATTGATATTCTTCTTATCTTATTTAAGTTTATTATCTAATCATCTTCTAATAATTTTTCAATTTGATTTCTAATTATTTTATTAGTATTTAATTTTTTTATTATAATTTATTGCTATTTCAGTATCATTTTTGAAATTTAAAAATTGTCTATTGATATTCTTCTTATCCTATTTAAGTTTATTTTCTAATCATCTTCTAATATTTTTTTCAATTTGATTTCTAATTATTTTATTAGTAGTTAATTTTTTTATTATAATGAATGATTATTTCAGTATCATCTTTGAAATTTAAAATTATTTATTTATATTCTTCTTATCCTATTTAAGTTTATAACGGAATCCTTTAATAATTATCTAATCATCTTCTAATAGTTTTTCAATTTCATTTCTAGTTATTTTATTAATAGCTATTTTTTTTTTATAATTGATCATTATTTGAGTATCATATCTTTAAAATTTAAAAATTATCTATTGGTATTCTTCTTATCGAATTAAAAATTATTAGCAACTAATTTATCAACTTATTAAACTTTAACTTTTATAATTGTGATTAATTTGTAAAATCTTCTTATGATTTTATTTTTAGTTAAAAATAATTTTTCAAATTTTTAAAAACTAATTTGGAAATAAATTTAAATATATACATGTGCATTGCTAAATTTCTTTCAAAAATCAAGTTACTAATATTTCTATCATTGCTATTTTTAGGCTTATATTTTTAATAGGACTAGGGTAGTAAAAAAATTGATTAAATTGGATAATTTCACATGCATAAAATTTATAATATTATCCAAGTACTTCCTATTTTCATCATTTATTTGTTATCATAAATCTTTTTTTAAGCATTAGTTTTTTTTAATTTCAGAAACTTGGTTTTAATTTCAATTTTTCTGTTTGTTTGGTTGCTTAATTTTATTTAATTTTTAATATAAATTAATTTAAATTAGAATTAAAATTAGCTAGAATAATATTTTTAAATTAAAGATCATACTTTCTTTATATTAAAATAAAAAGAACATAACAAAATTCAAAATAATTAAACTATTTTTACTCAAGATCAAGTTTAAAATTTGAATGATTAGGTTACTTTGATAAATTGAATCTAATGCTAATAATTGCACTAATTTGATTTCCAGTTTTTAAGCATTAAAAAGAATGTATATAATTTATTAGTTAATTAGTTAGAAAGAAAAAATGAATAAAAAACAAAGTTATAAGAATAAATTAATATAAAAAATAAAAATTAAAAGTATATCTAAAA